TCGCACATACCTCTTTGATTCAAAAAATGGCGTACTGGCAGCCATGTGTACCTTGTCTGTATCATCCTGCATGAAAGGCAAGGTATATGAAGGGAAAATGTTTGTTCTTCTTGTTGTTTTGTTGTCATTGACTCTGTCATAAAACTTGTTCTTGTATTTATAATAACAAGAACAGTTAATTTTTATCCAATTTCTTTCAAACTTGTAATAAATTAACCAGATTGACCAATTTTGATTATGGTACATGTTCTAAGTATATTTTTCAATATTCATAAAATTTAAACCAAATTGTCTTCTTTCTGTGGTTACTATGACACTTTTTATCTGATTATCTTTAAATTTGGGAATCTTATCAATTGACATAAAATGTCAACAAGTTCAATTTTGGTGTAACTAGCAAGTGCAATATGACTGAAATAAAAGTTTTTGGACAGAATGAAGACATTTATACTGTTTAATAATGGGAACCTGATGCAAAATATTAGATATGTTGCTGTACTACTATTTTTGTATACAATTCAAGTTGTATTACTTGTTGAGGAATGTACTATTATTTGAGGAACATGAATTAATTTTTTTATGTAATTTTGATAACTATTTGAAGTCAGTATTTCCATGCAACATGCTTAGATAATATATTATTGCACCATTTCAGAACTTTTATACTCACCATTGCTATACAAAGATTAGATAATATATTGTATTATATAAAGTTTGTTATCCATTCATTTCATACATTTGTTATTTAAACTAGGTTCTCAGTGGACAAAGTTGTAATAGTTTCGCTATGTATTTTCTGACACTTTGAGCATTGGTCGTTGCATTGAATCGCTCTCATTAAGAGTCTTATAGCGATGAATATAACGCATGTAAAACACAATATTTGTTTACACGAAATTTGAACATGCTCTATGCGACGCCAACCACCATTGAAATTTAATACAATGGCAGGGCAAGTGATAGTCATTTACATATGTATGTCAATTTGTTTTTGGATTCAATGAAGTGGTCATGCTTTTCTCTTTTGTGTTCACAATTGCAAAAAAGATAATTTATTACGTTTATTGTGTAGGTATGATCCAAGATCTGATACGTGGACCACGGTTGCTGCAATGAATATTTGTAGAGATGCCGTAGGTGTGGCAGTCCTTGGTGATAAATTATATGCAATTGGTGGATATGATGGATCAACTTACCTTAATGCTGTGGAATGCTACGATTCACAAACCAATGAATGGACTATGGTGAGTATACCAGTATGTCATTTTTCGATCACATACGGTCTGTTGCCTTTCTGTAATATATGAATTTTCTTTTACTAAATTTCAAATTCCTCAACTATATTTTTAAGATATTTTCCAAGGTAACTTTTTCAAAGTCAAAGATGCATCAAGGAATGAGCATAACTACATTGTAGCTACATCACAAAAATGGTCTGTACATAAGTGATGCATTATATTTGCTTAGAGTGTGCATGCAATGTGTGTGTATACACAACATGTGAATGCTTGATTGTTGTGGTACAAAAGTAAGTTACGGAAAGTAAGTTACGAAACATGTAACTGTGTAATTACTATATATATTATATTGGCAAGTGAATTGGTGGTGATACACGAGTCGAAGTTGAGTTTCTTGTTTTCAGTTATGAATTAACCATGACTTTTTACCTTGCCCGTACCATCAAAGATGGAAGGGAAAGGTATATTAAGGGGAAAATTTTGTCTGTCGTCGTTGTCGTCGTCGTTGTTAATAATTGTTATTGTGTGCATAATAACTTTACTAATTCTATTCCAAACTTGATCACTTATTCATCAGTATAAATTCTTCCCTGAGTATGTTAACAGATGTCCTGTATGAAAATATCATGCAAAAATTGAGAAAATCTGATAAAATATTTTGACTGTTTCTACTTGACTGATGACAGTGGAAATATGCATTGTTGTATGTGTTCGATGAAGCAAATGATTTATCTTGTAATAATATCCTTGGTAATGTATCTCAGAAGCCCATACTGGGTTTCAAAACCAACTCATGGAGAGAATGCACAGTCTGATACACATTTGCAAACCTACAAATAAAATCTTTACAGAAAACAAGATGTCAGAAAATCAATATAAACACTCCTATGAACTGGGTGCCAAACTTTGATCAAGATCTGAAGCTAATAGAAAATCTGTTTAGTTCAAAGCTATCAAATCAAAAACAATACATAAAAAATACATAAAAAGCAAAACATTTCATCCACATTTTAAAAAGAAAATTGTTCTAAAATATATGTATTCTGTTTTTGACAAACAGTTCATTCGACAAATGAAAACTCACAGGAATATGTTTCAGCTATTAGAACAGAATGATAGAGTTTTTATAATACTAGTTTAAAAATGCACTTCAAAGATTGCAGTGTTTGAAGATGTAGATTCTCAGGAGGCAACAGTACTGTTGACTTCTCCCTTCACTGGACACCAACTAACTATTTAAGTTGATTTGCTTACAAAGCAGAGCTTGCAACATGATAGCTTTTCATATAATACAGTAGTCACACAATGAGGCAGTTCATATTCGTCTCAGTGAATCATTAATTTTTTACAGACACCTGTACAAAATACTTGGACAAAAGCCAGCTAAGATTTTCTGTTATCTTGCATGTTTTATGAATCTATTCACGTCTAAATGCAGCACTTTTTTTTGCGATGAGGCATTTGTTTTTATACTAAAATATCTGAATTACATTGAATAAAGCTGGAAATTATGTCCCTTAAAATAATTAAACAAATAAGGCACCAATGTTTTTGTAAAATATTTACATCTTTTAAGGACATTCGGTAGACTGATTCCCCACTGTTTCAACCCCAAAACTTGTTTGTATTCAAAATTAATTATGACAATGCATATTTATATTGAAACAAACTATGATAGAGGGAATTATATTATATAACAAAGGGCAAGGTCACCAGAGTTCAACTATGTTTTACACATGTTTTCTTACATGATGATTACCGATGTGAAATGTCAAAGAAAACTTGCCTGATGTATTACATGTTTATCACAAAAATTGTTATGATGACCATATATGTATTATATTACATAATCCTCACGTGTAGAGGGATTATTTTCAAGGTCAACTAATTTCAGGTATCAAAGTATTTAATAACTGTATTGTTATTTTCAATGACTTGTTTCAATTATATTACAGATGGCACCGTTATGTACAGGGCGAGCTGGAGCATGTGTTGTACAAGTACCAGACCTTACATCACATCATCACCAAGTCCACATTTAGCAACTTTTAAAGAGACATGACTTCGCCTTCACCTTCACCTTCACCTTCGCCTTCACCTAATCCTGTATCAGCAAACTGAATGTTGAATGTAGAGCTGACGATGCTTATCATTGATGTTATAAGTGAAATATGTGACAATTGTCATGATACAGGTGTCACATGTTCCTCCCATCACAGTCACATGTTCCTCCTATCACAGCCACATGTGTCACCAATTACAATCACATGTCTCACCAATTACAGTCACATGTCCCTCCCATCATAGTCACATGTCCCTCCCATCATAGTCACATGTCCCTCCCATCATAGTCACATGTCCCTCCCATCATAGTCACATGTCCCTCCCATCATAGTCGCATGTCCCTCCCATCATAGTCGCATGTCCCTCCCATCATAGTCGCATGTCCCTCCCATCATAGTCACATGTCCCTCCCATCATAGTCACATGTCCCTCCCATCACAGTCGCATGTCCCTCCCATCACAGTCACATGTCTCACCCATTACAGTCACATGTCTCACCAATTACAGTTACATGTGTCATCCATCATAGTCACATGTCCCTCCCATCATAGTCACATGTTCCTCCCATCATAGTCACATGTGTCATCCATCATAGTCACATGTCCCTCCCATCATAGTCACATGTCTCACCCATTAC